ACCCACCCCAGATGGTTGTACTTATGCCAATGGCCAGAAAAGGCCACCCAGTGTGCCCTGATGGAGAGGGTGGCGGGGGAGTGGGATGGGCCCTGATACACCCACACTGATGTGCTCCCGGCCTTCCCCAGCTCTTCCCTCTCCAGCTGCTTGGGGCTTGCTGGCTCCTCCTCCTCCAGGGGGTCCACTGGGATTGGGTTGGAGAGTGTTGGATGAGAAGAAGGAGCACTGAGTTAGGAGTCAGGAGCTCTGAGTTACCACCTTGGCTCTGGCAATTGGCTCTGTATGCAAATCACTTCCTCTGTGGCCTCAGTTGTTCCCATCTATACAATGGAGGGTTTGGTGCTCTTGAGTCCCTATGGGCTCTTCCTCTGGGGCTCTGGGCCAAGGCTGGGTGTGGGAAGAGACATGGAGAGGGCTGTGGGGCAACCGAGCCTTAGCTTAAGGAGTCGCCTCCTGGGATCTAATGGGGACTTCCTCCTGGCTCCAAGACCCACCCTAACCTCCAAAACACAGTTTCCCCCAACATCTGTTATCAATTATTCCTTAATTCCTCACACACGTTATTCCACAAAAGATTGGGTGAGTGAATGAGTGGGCCTTTTTATTTTTTGACAATTATAAAAAACACCACCTTTATACCAATCTGTGTGCCAGACAGTGTTGGATGCTTGATGAGTTTTCTCTCCTGTGGTCCACAAACCACTGGTGAGGAGGTGCTGCTATTTCTTCTTACAGATAGATAGCGGGGTCCTGAGGGGCAGGGTGTTGGCTGCAGATGGCATCTCATGGCCTCCTCCTTGCAGCCCTGTGAGCCCCATTTTACAGAGGCACCAAGTGAGGCACAAAGAGCTGAGGTGGCTTAACCAAGGACATGATGCGCGATGGAACCCAGGTCTGTGGGACTCCAAGTCCAGAGGTTTCCATGTCCTCACCTTTCTGTCCCACTGGTCTCCCTCGGATAAGGATTCTAGGTTGTTCAGGCCACCTTTGGACATTTGGGGAAACTGAGGCCAAGTCACACTGTAGGTCTGTAGCAGAGCCTGGCCAGGAACCCAGTACTCCAACCTCCTATCCCTGGGGCCTGCCTCCCATCCTTGGAAACTCAGCGGGAACCCCTTACCCAGGCCCCAGTCCAAGAACCCAGCCCCTCTCCCAACCACAGCCAGACCCAAACCTCATGCTGCCCAGGGCACAGCCATTGCCTCCCTCCACTTGGTCCGACCGGGATTCTCAGCCAGGTGCACATTGGACTTATCACTGGGGCTCTGATGCCAACAGCTGGCCTCTCTGGGGCCATCTGCAAAAAAGAGTGATCCCCCTCCCCCAAGCAGAGGGCCTGTGAGGGGCAAATGGCATCTCAGGTACAATGTGTTCAGTGCGGGCACACAGCTGAGCTGAGGAGCTGGACACAGAGTACCTTTCCTTGATGATTCAGACGTACCTCCCACCTTTGGAGGCTGAACGTGCCTTGCAGTGGGGTTCACTTCATTCCTGAGCTCTCCACAGGCTTCACTGAGCCAATTCCAGATTTTATACCCAAATGGACTCCCTCAGTCCCCACTTCCTGGCACCAGTGAGGGGGAAGGAACCCTGGGACCTTGACCAGTGCCCTCACTAACTCACCAAGTGATTCTGGGCAAGTCCCTGCTCTCTCTGTGCCTCAGTTTCCCCATCTTTTTTATGCAGGAGGTAGGCCCAGGGGACCTATAAGCCTTGCAGCTGTCTGCACAGGGCAGGCAGGAGGGCCAGCCCATGGATCTGAGTCCTGTATGCAAAAAAGTGTGGGTTAAAGGGCAGAACTGAAAGGATCTAATTCATGCCCCTCAGGTTCATACTGGGAAACTGAGGCCCAGGGAAGGTGGTAGGGCAGAGTTACTTCCAAAGCCAGGGCCAGAGTCTCTCCAAGCCCCAAAGCCCAAGCCTCCCCACTCTACCAAATTATTACTTAGACTGGTTTTTCAAAACCAATATTGTTTTAAATTTTATAGTTCACAAAACCCTTTCATATATGTCATTTCATTGAATTCTTATGACTAAGTAAGGTGACAATTATGTGTTGACTCTGTACCTAGCAAGACAGAGGCACTGAGTGGTAAAGTGGCTTGCTGAGGGTCACCTGGCAGGAGCGCTGGCAGCAGAGGGAAAGGGTCAGCCAGGCCAGGGAGCACCCCCATGTACTCACCGCCTGTCTCTCTCCCCTCTCTTCCTTCCTCCCTGCCTCCCTCCCTCCCTCCCTTCCTTCTCTTCCCTCCCTTTTTTCCAGCAAACGCTTAGTGAGCCCCAGTTTTGTGTGAGAGAAAAAGTGTGGACAATTAAAAGCCAGGCTTTTGGAATCACCCTCAGACCTGGGTTCAAATCCCAGCTTTAAGATTTCCCGGCTGTGCAACCTTGTGCCTGAGACTTAGCCTGTCTGAGCCCTCATTTCCTCTTTTTATAATGGGGGACATAATGAGACCTCCCAGGGCTGTGGTGATGACTAAGTCATATTATGTGTTAGATAGAGCACTTGTTCTACAGTAGGTGTATAAATGGCATCCATTATCCTGCAAATGCCACTCTTTCCTGCCCCTCTCAGCTGCCTCCCAGTTTGGAGGAAGAGCTGAAGACCTACAACACGCCCCAGCTTTAGAGCAAAAAACCCTGTCACTTGAGGTCTTGCAGGCAGGCGATGACTCCCTTAAAGCACCCAGCATGGGGTGGGTGGGTGGCTGGGATTGGGGGAGTGGGGCACAGGGTCCCAGGGCAGGCCAGGGAAGGGGCCCTGGCCACCCAGCCCGACGCCCTCCCCTGTCCGCAGGCTCTGCGCGCCTCTCTGGAGATGAAGTGTAAGTGCCACGGGGTATCTGGCTCTTGCTCCATCCGCACCTGCTGGAAGGGGCTGCAGGAGCTTCGGGATGTGGCCACTGACTTGAAGACCCGCTACCTGTCGGCCACCAAGGTAGTGCACAGACCCATGGGCACCCGCAAGCACTTGGTGCCCAAGGACTTGGACATTCGGCCTGTGAAGGACTCGGAGCTTGTCTATCTGCAGAGCTCACCTGACTTCTGCATGAAGAACGAGAAGGTGGGCTCCCACGGGACACAAGACAGGTGAGGGGGCCACTACCCATCCTGGCAGGAGGGGGCCGCTACTTGCACGTGCCCTGCCCCAGCTCAGGGCCAGGCACACAGCCAGGCCTCAGTTAGCATTTGGGGAATAGAGTCTCTGCCCAGTCGAGGGAGGTGGCCCCAGGAATGCTGGCAGAGCTTCTGGGGATGGCTGTTGTGCATCTCGCCAAGGCAGGGGCCCCTCAGGAATGGAGGCTGCTGAGAGGCCCCCACCCCACCTTCCTTCTGGTTGGGGAGACAGATGGAAAGAGGCACTGACAGAGACTTGCCTCAGTAAATGTTTGCCAGATGAGTGAGTGAAAGATAAATGTCATACAACTTGCTCACTGGACAAATGAGGACCTGAGGCACAAGGGGAGGTGGGGGCAGCAGCCAGCCCACAGTGACACAGGAAGTGTGCCCAGAGTGGAGGCAGAACTAGGGCAGCCACTTTCCAGAGGTCTGCCTGCATTCTCTGGAGAGATAGTGGTCCTATGCCCCCCCCACATGCATGCACCCACCCCCTGGGCCCCAACTCTCTCCCCCTGGGCCCCAGTTTCAGAGCCGGGCTGAGGTCCCTACAGCTGGCCCCATCCTGGCTGCTGAAGCTGACCTAGCATAGGAGAGAGGGAGGGAGCCAGTGATAACTGCAGGCCTACTGTGTGCCAGGCAGGGCTGGTGGGGAGCACCATTTTCCAGAGATAGTTCTGGAGGAAGCCAGTCCTGAGACGCTGTAACAGAAACAGTTCCACACTCATAGTCATTTGGGAAATTTTCAGGCGATTCACAAGGCCCGAGAACATATTAAAGGCTCGGAGGAATCCCACAGTAAAGGATCTGTCTAAGCTGTGTTTCCCAGAGGTGTTTGGCTGTGGAACTCTTTTATTAAGGAGCCCCTAATAGCATTCCACAAAATGAGTGTTCTGCGGGGTTAAAAGAATATTGAACCAGAGCGAGGGTGTCTGAGAATGTGTTTGGCACATAGTTGGTGCCCAGCCAGCATTTGCTTCCTCCGCAGCCCACGTTCCTGTCTCCAGGAGAGGGGGGCTAGTTTGGGGGGGCTCTGTCTTCACAGGCTAGGGCAGCAGACTCTGTGAGGAGGCCCAGGTTCCCATCTGGAGGCCAGATTGAGGGGGTCAGGCAGAGTGAAGATGGAACCAGGTCAGGCCAGGGAGACGGGAAGGAGTGAGGCAGTCAGGGTGGGTATGATGAGGATGGGGTGGGAGAGGAGGACTCTAGAACCCAGAGGGGCTGTGGGAAGCCTATCAAGGACCCCAGAGCAAAGAGAGGGTCTCCCTGGATCCATGGCGGGCCGTGTGTGTGTGTGTGTGTGTGTGTTTGTTGGGAAAGGATAGCTTCCTGGCTATTGGACCTTGAGTAATCCCTTCACTGAGGCTCAGTCTTGCCTTCTGCACAATGGGGTCTTTACCACATACCTGGGAGGGTTGCTGAGCAATCTCGAATTATACTTAAGGAGCAGCTCCTCTGTGCTAGGCAGTGTCAGTCCCATGGGAAGGGCTCATTAAGGGCAGTTTCCCCTCCCCTCTTCCCACCCACCAGGCTTCCAGGCCTCTTCTTTCTCAGCTCCCCTCACTCTACCCCTAGGATTTTCCCCCAAACTACTGATGAGGCCCCATCCCATAGCACCAGCTGCCTTCCTTGCTTTCTCACAATGCCTCCCCTGCCCCAGGTTTCCTGCCATGCTCAATTCTCAGCATTGTTTTGGGGATGGGCCTTTGCAGACATCTGTATTAGTTAGCATTTTCTGCAGTAACAAACAGCCCCAATATCTCAGTAGCTTACAACCACAGACACTCCTCACACTCATTACATGAAGCTCCTGCAAGTGCTGAGAAGGTGGAGAGACATCAAGTGCTCAGATTGTGACAGAGGGAAGCCCAAGGATGAGGGGAGCCCAGAGGGACCCTGACCCCAATCTGGGCATCAAGGAAGGCTTCCTGGAGGAGGGAAAATGTAAGCTTTATTAGGTTAGGGGATTTGGGGGTGCAGAGAGTTGGATGTAAAAAGCATGTGCACAGGTGGCACCTCTCCAGGGGCTGGCCCCCTCACAGGGGAAGATTCCCTCCTCAGGTCCAGCCTGGTGAACTGAGGCGTCTTCAGCAGTCAGTATTCCAAACCCCAGCGCTCTGGTCATGTCTTCCGGAGGCCCCTGTGCCCCTGAAACCTGCCCCCTCATGGCCTGTACCACTTGTTGCCTGGAAGCCAGGTGTCCCAGTAGTCTTCCTTGGGGCCATGATCCTTTCTCCAGGCCCCACCTGCCCAAATTCCCCCTCCCAGGCACCATCTCAAGCTCTGTCTATCTCAGAGGCCAAGTTTAAAAACTTGGAGGCCAAGTTTTTAAACACTGTGTGTCAGGGATCCAGAATAAAAATGAACTCTACCCCTTTCCTACCACCCTTCCTTCAGGATAAGGCTGAGGGGGACCAATGGTGTTGAGTGAATAAACAAAGCCCAGAAAGGTTAAATAACTTGCCTTAAGTCACACAGCCAGTAGGGGCAGAGCTGGCGTTTGAACCCAGGTCTCTCTGGCTCTGAGACAGGTGTTCTTCCTGCTGTTCCCTCCTGCCTCCTGCCTGGCACTGCTTGCAGCCCCCACATGCAGATCATTGTCACCTCCTGACTCTTCCCCAAGCTGCCACCCTCCTTGTTACCCCATGGTCTGTTCCCAGCTCAGGCCTTGGCCTCTCTTACTCAGCTGCCGCCCACCTCCTCCCTGGCCTCCCTGCCTCCAGCTCTACCCCTTCCATCTCTTCTCTCACTCCTATTAGATCAGGTCAGCCTGTTTGTTCTCTGTGCCCCCAACACCCTTTCCCCTCCTCTCCATCTTAGATTCCTACTCATCTTTCATAAAATGGCCTAGATGACTCTTCCTCCTCCAGGAGGCCTTCCTAAACTCTCACAGGCCCCATGCTCACCCTGTGTGACCTTGTGCAAGTCCCTTCCCCATTCTGTGCCTCAGTTTCCCCATCAGGAAATAATGAGGGTTGAATTCGTCATCTCTAAGGCTTGTGCATCTCAGACATTCTGGGATTCCTCAGTCCACATGGCTGTGGGACCCAGCTGTGTCCCATAATGGCATCCCTGCCCTTGCTAAAGGAACTGCCAACCTGAACAGATGATTCTTCACTAGACAGAAGAACTGACAGCAGCAGAAGGATATTTGGGTTTTATGGGGACCTTCAATGTCTTCTCCCACATGAGTGATTCAGGAATAAATGCAGCCCTGGTTTCTCTGCCCTTCAGGGTGGGGAAAGTATGCACTGGACTTAGTTTCAGGGCCCGCGAGCTCAGGCCCTGCTTATCCACAGACTCCTGTGAGACCCAAATAGGCCTCGGCCCTTCATTCACTGAGCCTGTTTCCATCTGTAAAATGGGCATAATAATTCCACCGACCCAAGGACCCTGCATGCCTCCAATAAGATAAAATACTGGAGAGAAACACCTGGCACAGAGGGAGCACATGGATGACAGACCCTCTCTCTCAATGAACAAAAAGCCAGGTGCTCACTTTGTTCAGATCCAGTGCCATTTTGTCTGTTTCAGAATTTTTCCTGGGAGCCTAAAAAGGAAAAGTCTTTACATTTGTTACATTATAATTCAAGATTAAATATGAAGATAAGATTATTAGAGTGATTTGAGGCTCCTTTGAGTATTGAGAAGTGGAAGAAATAGGAAAAAAGTAAAACACCCCCATCATTTTGATAAATGCCTATTAGAAATACAGGGAAAAGTGAGAAGCACCCTTGGGAAGAGGATTATTTCAAAGTCCTGAAGACCAAGACACCTTCCACGAGGGACTGAGTCTGTAACCACCCCACGGTGGGGGAGGCTGTGGGCTGCTGGGCTGGGAGTGTGGGGCTGGGTGTGGCAGACGCGCTCATTAGCCTCTCCTCCCCTCCTTTCCAGGCAATGCAACAAGACATCCCAGGGCAGTGACAGCTGCGACCTCATGTGCTGTGGACGCGGCTACAACCCCTACACAGACCGCGTGGTCGAGCGGTGCCATTGCAAGTACCACTGGTGCTGCTATGTCACCTGCCGCAGGTGTGAGCGTACGGTGGAGCGCTACGTCTGCAAGTGAGGCCTGCCCTGCGCCTCTGGGAGCTCCTGGGGACCCTCAAAGGCCTGCCGAGGTCCACCAAGGGGCCTGGAGACACCCCGTGGATTTTTGCTTGTGAATTCCAGATGCCAGGCATTGGAGGCAGTTTGTGCTTCCACTTGGAAGCCACCAGGAACAGAAGGAGGGCCGGGACATCAAAGGAAACTGACAAGATTAAAAATAACCTGGCAGCCTGAGGCTCTGGAGTGCCCACTTGCTGCCTTCCAGTCTGGTCTAAGAAGCCAGAGGCATGGGATTGGCAAGACTGGTATGGACTTGACCTTTCACAGCCAGATCACCAGCCTCCTGGGAAGGAAGGAGGGTCTGCCTGCCCTCACAGAGTGTTCTGCAGGCCCAGCCCTTGAGACCCCCCAGGCCCTCAGGGTCGAGCCTGCTGGGCCCACCACATGGAACCACTAGCTTGGGTTGTAAATATTTTGTTTTGTTTTTTCTTCCTCTGGGATGTGGGAGCTACAGAAATATTTATAAAACATAGCTTTTCCTTTGGGGTGGCTTGCCTCAATTCCTCTTTATATATTTTATATATATAAATATATATATATAATGATCTATATTTTAAACAAGCTTTTTAAACAGCTGTATGAAATAAATGCTGAGAGAACCCCAGCCCTCCCCTGCAGTCTCTGGCTTCCTCAAGAAAGCTCAGAAAATCCTGGCGCTGGCCTGGGCTCTCCGGTTTCCAGGCGAGGCGGCTTCTGATTGATGTCCCTGCCCCCCCACCACATCCCACCCGGCTCTGGGGCTCTGGCCCTAGTCTCCCTGTAAGATCTCTTGGTCAAGGGTGAGGACAGACGTCTTGAAACATAAACCCAGCTGGCAGATTCTTTGTTCCTCAGGGACACACACGCAGACGCACACAGCCTGGCCATGTCGTCAGACCAGCTAAGCTAGCTTCAAGGGAAAACCCAAGCCAGGGGGAGCTGGGGACACAGACTTAGGTTCCAGCTAAACCTGTGGTTTCTCTGTGTGACCGTGGGGAAGACTTCTCCTCTCCTTAGGCCTCGGTTTCTCCATTTGTAAAACGGGGTAGTGGAGATTAAGGTTAGTGGCTGGGAAAGGCCCCCCACTGTGTGCGTGGACCAGGCTGGCTGCAGTGGGTGTGGAGAGAGATGGTGGGATTCCTGTGGTATCCACCAGGATTTGTTCTCTTTACAGTTGTGGGGTGTGAGGACCAGGAGGGTCAAGGGCTGCAGGGGTTTTGGCTGAGCACTTGGAATAGCGCTAAGGTGGGGATGGAGAGAGGACTGGGCTTAGACTTGGCCTATGGAGATGGCGATGGCGGTTCAGTCCCAAGTGGAAACACTGAGTAGATGGGCAGATCCTCAAACCTGGAGTCCTGGCGAGAGCCTGGAGGCAAGTTACACACGTGGGCATCAGCATTAAGGGGCAGGATAGAAGAACAAAGAGCCCCAAGGCTGGAACCTGTCACTTCCCCTCGGAGGTCAGGGAGATGAATGAAAGGCACAGAGGCCGAGAAGTAACAGCCAGGGAGATGCGGGAAACGCGGGGTCTCGGTGCACATAGCACCTTCCCTCTCGGCGGGTCAGCTCCACTTCCAGTCGGGCCGCACTGAGGAAGAGGGGCAAGTGTCCTGGGTCCTGGCCCATGGTAGGTCCCCTCAAGTTGAAGCAATTATTAGTCACCTGTATCTTGGTCTGGCTGTGGGTGACCACACGAGACAAACGATGTAAGGAGAACTTATAAACTGAATTTCTGTGTACCTGGGAGGAGACAAACACTGAGACAAGACCTGGAATGGCTGGAGCACAATGTAGCCTTGGAGCCTGGGCAGGACTCGGTGATGTGAAGCAGGCTCCCTGGATGTGATGACATAGACACACCCCGAGAGCCTAGATGGATTACAGGGTGGGACGAGGGAGGGCTGTGTGGCCATCCTCCAAGTCCTTGTCTGAAAGTGTGCAGTGGGGTTGACCATAGGGACAGAATCACAGGCTGAAAGGAACTTCAAGATAGGTCTCCTGGTCTCCTCAATTTTTTTTGCAGATGAGGAAATTCCGAGAAGGGAAGGGCCTTTCCTGTGGTGACAGAGCTGATAAGGGGCTAAGGGCCGGTGGTGGGGTTGCAGGACATCCCAGGGTGGGGTTCCCACCAGCATCTCTGCTCCATTGAACAAGCCCCTGGAATGTGCGCTCTTGCAAACCCAGGGCTGCCCCTGCTCCACAGCCTTCGCTGGTTCCCCATGGCCCACAAAACCAATGCCTAGTTCCCTGCCCTGGTGTACAAGGCCCTTCCCTCAGGCCCCAGATGACTATTCTAGCCACATTTCCAGCAACTCCCAGGCATCACCTCTGTGTGGTCTGCCTCTGGGCATCTGCTGTTCTTTGGCTCTCACAGCTATCTCCACAAAGCCTTTCCCAGTGCCCTCGGGTTCCCAACAACCCTTTGAACCTTTAAAGCAGCCATGGCACTCATGATCACAGTGGCCAGCCACAACCCACTCTTCCTCCAAGAACCATGTAAGTGGCTCCCTCCTCCAGAAAGTCTTCCCTGACCACCCTCAGCCTGGGTCAGTGGCCTCTTCTGGGTTCCCACTGCCGCTGTGCTGCCCTCTGACATTGCACCACCGAGCCAAGGCATTGCAGAGGTCTGTGTTGTGTCTGTATCTGCCTCCCCTACCTATCTGGGAATTTCTCATGGGCTGGGACCAGCCCAGTGCACCCATGAGGCCCCAGGATCTGGGGGTAGTATACCCAGGACCAAATACATGCGTTGGAAATGTTGGATTTGGGGTTGACAAGCAAATGGGAAACCAGACCAAGAACCCAGAATGATTCTCAGAAAGAGTGATCATATAATATAAATGCTACCCTTTATTGTGCCCCTACTGTGTGCTACGCCAAACACACTGTCCCAAGTCTCTTCACAGAAGGCCTCAGGGGGGTATGGTGATCAGCATCTGACAGGTGAGAAAGTAAGGCTCTGAGAGGGGCCAATTGGCCAAGATCTCACAGTAAGTTCATAGCAGGGCAGGGCCAGGAGCCCAAGTGTGTCTGACACCAAACCCCTTCTCACAGGTCCTCACTCCAACTAGGCCTGGGCTGAGCAGCGTGGAAGGTAGAAGACTGTTTCAGGCTCAGGACAAGAGACCTAGCTGGGCCCCGACTCTGGGTCTTACGCACTTGCTGCTGGCTAGTGCCTGGGACTGCAATGAAGCCCTGCACCTTTCTGGCTGGTCAGGGGCTGGGCAACCAGGGTGTGGTAGAGAGTTTGTCCCTAGACTGCTCCTCCCGGCCAGGTCAGGATTGTAAGCACGTAGCTGGGCTGAGCCCGCACTCAGGTGAGGCAGGGGAGAGGCCTCCTCCAGTGTGAATCCCAGGATCTCGATGCTCTAGTGTCTCAGAGCTTATTGTGGCCAGAGATTTAGAACCATAAAATCTTGGTGCCTTGGGCTTTTGGAGTAAAATCTTCAAACCATTGCATCAGAAGTCCTACAGAGGCCCAGGTATTGATCTGTGGTGTCCAAATGCTTGTCACCAGCAGGATTCCTGACCCAGGCCACACTCAGCTCCCTCCTTTGTAAGGGTCAGCAGTTCCCAGACTGGGCTCTGTGAAGCCCAGAAAGCCCTCAGGAGATGGGAATGAAGTCCCCAGAGATGATAGTACAGCAGCTTTGAGGAAGCTTCTGACCAAGTGTGGGAGGCCAGCCGGAGACATGGGAGAAACAGGCCTGGGGAGAGACAAGAAGGCGGCAGAGAGGAAACAGGAACTCTTGGAAAGAAGGAGAGATTAGCTCGGTGGGAAAGGAGAGAATAAGCAGATAAGGCCCCCTGGGGAGGCCAGGTCAGGCCAGAGGAACAACAAGGGGGGCCCAGGCCTAGCCCTGAGCAGGCTGATGGTCTGTTGTTCCTCAGGTCACGGGGAGCAGCTGCCAGGTTACATAGACCAGGCCTCCAGCAGGATGCAGATCCCAGCCCAGGACCCCAAGCCCAAGAGAGGCTGGAAGAGGAGGGGGGTGGGGGCTAGGAAACAGGAACCCCAGTATCTCTTCCACTCTCTTGCTGTGTGACTCCAGGCAGCCACTGGGCCTCTCTGGGTTTCTGCAGTAGTTGTCTTAATTCTCATAACCATTGTGAAGGGTAGGGCCCTGTATCTCTGTTTTTTTGATGAGGCCTAGGGAGAGAAGTGACTGGCCCAAGGTTACAGAGCCATAAGTGGCAAAGCAGAGATTTGAGTCCCAGATTGCCTGGCTCCGAGTCCACAATGGGCATCCCAGGGATGCAGCTGGCCTTTCACTGAGCAGGTAGTGTGACTCTGAAGCCGTAGAAGGGCCAGACAGGGTGTCACACAGGAGGGAAAGGAAACAATTCAAGATTGAATAGTTCTTGACATCTACCACAGGGACCTAAGATTCTAGTCCAGGGGCAGGAGTCAGATTCCCCCATCCCCATGGCGTCAGACCATAGCTCAGACAACACTTTTCTGCCTTGTCTTCCTGAGCTGGGGAGTTCACCATCAACCTGGGTGCCTGGACTCCCAAGACCCATCTGTGTGTGGAGGATGAGGGGGTAAAGTACATGTGTCCCCCTTTAGTGGGCCCACAACTCCTAGTTAGTGTATCAAAAATGACTAAAGTCAGAGATAGGCAGTCCTGGGT